GGGGACTGTCCTCTGGGTGTATATATCTTGTATCTGTGTTCAAATAAACTAGTCTACCTCCTGGTTTACTTCAAGACTGGTGTCGTCTAGTCTTGTATGGTCGGCTGTGGTGTCTGTTGTCGGTGTTCGGACGGGGGGATGCGGTATTCTAACAGAAGTACCCAAGCGCAGTCTGGGTTGGTTCCGTTACACTGAGCTAATGTGATCCCAGCGCTGATGAAGAGGGGCAGGGGAGGGTCAAACAAAGATGCTGTGCAGGCAACCAACATCCTCCTTATCAACTCATGATGCCATTGCTTGTCAGGAGGCTGGCAGCTAGAAGGTTGTAATGGTGCACAGAGAAAACCCGTGGCTTTGTGTAACTAAAAGGCAGGCTTGCTCCACCCGCTGGCTTGTATACACGTTTTGGGCAATTTTTAGACATTTTGCCAAGGCACCCCTGTAGAAACCTTAAGACACCCCAGGGTGCCTGGGCACCCTGGTTGAGAAAGGCTGCCTAAATTGTAAGAATCTTGAGGGCAGGGACTGATATTATTATTATTATACAGGATTTATATAGCGCCAACAGTTTGTGCAGCGCTTTACAATATAAGGGAGGCAGTAAAATTACAATACATTTCAGTACAGAAGGAATGTGAGGGCCCTGCTTGTGGAGCTTACAATCTAAAGGAAGGTGGAGGTGATACAAAAGGTGATAGCTGCGGGGGATTGTCTGGTGGAGGTGATTCAAAACCAGCTGCGATTTCTCATGCGCTCTAGGGCCCAGACCGGTGGCAAATAGATGGAACCAACACCAAAGCAAACGACCACCAGTATATTTCAAGGTTGTGCAGCTCCAAAACAGGGCTGGGGAAGCCCGATCGATATTGCAAAGTGAAACAAAAAACAAGAAGCGCACCAACCTTGCGCATTACCTCAGTAACAGAATTTATTAATAGAAGATAGGTACTCACAAACAGCGAATAAAATCAGGCATGTAGTCCTCAAAGAGACTTCAAAGATAAGAAGCCAGCGCGAATCCCATCATGGGGGTAGACACTCAGTATAGTTGACGCGTTTCGAAGGCTATGCCTTCTTCCTCTGTTTGTGAGTACCTATCTTCTATTAATAAATTCTGTTACTGAGGTAATGCGCAAGGTTGGTGCGCTTCTTGTTTTTTGTTTCACTTTGCGGAGGTGATTCAAGTACAGTTCTTAGGTGGAGGTGGGGTAGGCTTCCCTGAATAAGTGAGTTTTCAAAGATCGCCTAAAGGCAGACAGGGTGGGGGCTGCCCAGGCATACTGTGGTAGGGAGTTCCAGAGGATGGGGGAGGCTCTGGAGAAGTCCTGGAGGCGAGCATTGGAGGAGGTGATGAGGGAGCTAGAAAGGAAGATATCTTGGGAGGAGTCGGCAATTTGGGCGGTATCTGTGGATGAGTTGGCAATGTAGCTAGGGGCAGTGTTGTGGATGGCTTTGTAAGCTGTGGTCAGTATTTTGTTTTTTATATGAATGCACAATATATGTAAAGTTCTAATAATTTGACCGCGCTATATAAGTACCTGTAATAATAATACCATGACCTGGATATATGAGAACCTTCACAGACTTTTTTTTTTTTTTTACCTACAGCGACCATTATGTAACCTAGACCAGCTGTTCCAAGAATAAAACCTGTTACGTCAATGAATCTAGTAATTGAATTCTTGTCCATATGGATGAACATTGGGTCAGCCCACGAGATTGCTGCAGCACTGTATACGAACCAACATATTCATAGATAGAATGGCTGTACATTGGCTTGTTTAGCAAAATGTCTACTTTTAGTATCCTGCCTATGACAGGAATCTCTGTAAATAGACCAGGCCACAGACACGTACAGTTTTTCTTCAAGCAATAATTCCGCCGCATCAAGATGTAGGTCACATTTGTGAGAGTCACCTTTCACAGGGGGACGATGCTAATGCTTTGTAGAAAATCTAGTTCATGATTCCGGTAGACACTAACTAATGGAGCGTACTGCTGTATCCAGGAGGGGAGGGATTGTGTGTTTTTTTTATGTAACCACCGAAGATGTCCGCGACTGGTGAGCCCTTCGCTCGGCCTAATAAAAAGGGCTGTTGATCATGACTTTTTTTTTTTTTTTTTTGCAACACAAAATTGTTTCTTCTCCGGCCGGCTATTCCCTCGTTGTCATTTTTAAGATGACAGAAAATTTGCAGACGTGTTTTCAGGAGCAGTTAATATCTCTCTATATCTAAGGCTCTTTTATTGCTGCGCTATATATAAAGAGGAGTTTTATTGCTTCGGAAGAGAGAGTGCCAGGTCTTATTGACTAGTAATGGTATTTGTATAGAAATATAGCTTGACTGCTTGCTGCCTTGGAAAATATTGATAGTTAAATGTAAATGCCAGTCAGACATAAAAAATTTTGCTTTGAAAATGACTCAAGGGACACTTATTGCTACCCTGCTAAGTAAGTCCCTGAACTTGCTGGTATTCTTACCTTTGGAGTGGCTCTGGATTTGGCTGTCCAGGCCTTTGAGTTCCCTGATTCCTGCTCCATCCTCCTTTCTGAGCCATCTCATCATCCTCAAAACTGGAACAAGTGATGGAGAATTTGATGCTTTGGTTCTGCTGGATTTGTGATTCCATTCATAAGTGCTGCTGGCTTCTGTGTTCACCTAAGGGTGTTGCCTGTTCTAATGTGAATTTATATCCAATTGCCTCTGTCCAGGCGTTTGAGTTCCCTGATTCCTGCTCCATCCTCCTTTCTGAGCCATCTCAGCATCCTCAGCACTGGAGCAAGTGATGGATAACTTGCTGCTTTGGTTCTGCTGGATTTGTGATTCCATTCATAAGTGCTGCTGGCTTCTGTGTTCACCTAAGGGTGTTGCCTGTTCTAATGTGAATTTATATCCAATTGCCGCTGTCCAGGCGTTTGAGTTCCCTGATTTCTGCTCCAGTCTCCTTTCTGAGCCATCTCATCATCCTCAACACTGGAACAAGTGATGGAGAACTTGATGCTTTGGTTCTGCTGGATTTGTGATTCCATTCATAAGTGCTGCTGGCTTCTGTGTTCACCTTAGGGTGTTGCCTGTTCTAATGTGAATTTATATCCAATTGCCGCTGTCCAGGCGTTTGAGTTCCCTGATTCCTGCTCCATCCTCCTTTCTGAGTCATCTCAGCATCTTCAACACTGGAACAAGTGATGGAGAACTTGCTGCTTTGTTTCTGCTGGATTTGTGATTCCATTCATAAGTGCGGCTGGCTTCTGTGTTCACCTAAGGGTGTTGCCTGTTCTACTGTGAATTTATATCCACTTACCGACCAGTAACATACCTGGTAAGTTACTGGACGTTGTACCAAGTCAAGTCAAGTCGTTGTACCAGGATGATGCAGGCATTACCCCGGTACCGTATTTTAGAGCTGACATTTGGCTCTCTTGTAATTTCTATTACAAGCAGTGGGAGGGGACCCTGCCGCCCCGCTCTCCGCTGCCTTTCGCATCTTTAACGGGATCTCCCATCCTACCGGGAGTCCTGATCGACCAGCCGGAGCTTCCATTGGCTGACCATAGAGCCCAACAAACACCAGATCAGCTTTGTTAGGCTCTATGTAATGGTAACCTGGAAGTGATGATCTTATGTCCCTTCTGGTTTACTCAGCTACAAACGGCGCCATTTCTAAAAATAAAAAGCATTTCATCACCCCCCCCCCCCCCCCTCCACCACCTTCCACAGCTTTTCCGCATCGGAAGTCCCGATCAACCAGTCAGCGCTGCCGCCGGCTAGTCGTGGAGCCGTACAAAGACTGATTGACGTTAAATAGTAAACTGAAAACGAAGACCAAATGGCGCCATTTTTAAAAATAAAAGCATTCAGTCATACCGATCTTGGTTTGATTGAATGTGTTTAAAAGCAAAGGAGGATTTGGGGTCTAATTGACCCCAGTTTCCTTCATAAAGAGTACCTGTCACAGGCCTATTGCTGTCACAAGAGAGATTTACATTCTTTATTACAATAATAAAAGTGATCAAAAAAATTTTTTTTTAATTGATAGTGTAAAAAAAAAAAAAAAGTGCCCCTGTCTCTGCATGCATCGGTCCGGCACGCACGTAAACAGGGATCACCCCACACATGTGAGATTTGAAATCATGGACAGTAATTCTAGCACCAGACCTCCTCTGTAGATCGAAAATGGTAACCTGTAATGGCTTTTATAGTATTGCCTATGGATAGTAAAATTTACACCGTTTGTCGCTGTTTTAAAGCGTGACATGTTTGGTATCTATTTCTTCGACGTAACATCATCTTTTATGAAAAATTGGGTCATGTATTGTGTTTTTTTGCACTAAAATTAAAAACTGTATTTCACGCACACAAAAAAAAGCTGCAAAATTGCAAAACCCACCAATTTATTCTCTAGGGCCTCTGATTTAAAAAAATATATAATGTTTGAGGGTTATAAGTAATTTTCTAGGAAAAAATAAACTGATCGTTATATGTGAACAAAAAGAAAAAGCCTGGTCCTTAAGTGGTTAGGGCTTGCACTTAGGGCTTAGGTTCCCTTTAAAACATGAGTCTAAAGTAGGGAAATACATAAAAAGAATACCCATTTTATATTACCCTCTATAAATATTTTTTATTTAAATGTAAGATTTATAAGCATTTCTTCTAATGATGCCTAAGTGCCCAAACATTCAATCAGCCAATCATGTTGATTTTCTGATCCAGAATTGAAATAGTATGGATATTTTTTGATGGATTTTCAGAGTTTTCTTTAAGGATTAATGAAAAATTTAATGCGGAGTTCCAGCCGTTTAATTATTTTTTTTTCTAAAGGCTCCTACGTGAGAGTGCAGCTTAGCAAATGCAAGTTGAGATCACCTGTACTTGTAATCCTTTGCTTTCCTTATAAAAAATAAATGTACTTACTGCACCCTCATATTGTGAACGCTGTCATCTTAAGTGTGGGCACCTGAAGCTCACTTAGACATTCTTCTTGGAAATTGTGCAGCTGGCTATCCAGCATGCACTTCCCGTTTTCACTCCCGCGCAGTGTGAAGAAGGAGCGGTCTCGCACCTGTGCAGTGTGAAGAAGGAGCGATCTGGCGCCTGTACAGTGTGAAGAAGGAATGATCTGGCACCTGCGCAGTGTGTGAAGAAGGAGCGATCTGACACCTGCGCAGTGTGAAGAAGGAGAGCTCTGGCACCTGCGCAGTGTGAAGAAGGAGCGATCTGACACCTGCGCAGTGTGAAGAAAGAGAGCTCTGGCGCCTGCGCAGTGTGAAGAAGGAGCGATCTCGTACCTGCAAGGTGTGAAGAAGGAGCGATCTCTCACCTGCGCAGTGTGAAGAAGGAGCGGTCTCGCGCCTGCGTAGTGTGAAGAAGGAGCGATCTCGCGCCTGCGCAGTGTGAAGAAGGAGCGATCTCGCACCTGCGCAGTGTGAAGAAGGAGCGATCTCGTGCCTGCGCAGTGTGAAGAAGGAGCGATCTCGCACATGCGCATTGTGAAGAAGGAGCGATCTCGCGCCTGCGCAGTGTGAAGAAGGAGCGATCTCGCGCCTGCGCAGTGTGAAGAAGAAGCGATCTTGCGCCTGCGCAGTGTGAAGAAGGAGCGATCTTGGACCTCAAGAAATTAGATTGGCTGTCAGTACTTCAGGATTGATCAATTTTCAGATCTATACCAGTTTGTGAACTCTATAACTTTCCTACAAACTAAAAAATACATCCTAATTTGGGTTATTTTCACCAAAGAAATGTAGCAGAATACATCTTGGCTTAAATTTATGAAGAACAATTATTTATTTTTAAACTTTTATAACAGAAACAAAGAAAAACGTGTTTTTTTTTCAAAATTTTTGGTCTTTTTTTGTTAATTTAGCAAAAAATAAAAACCCCTACGGTGATTAAATACCACCAAAAGAAAGCTCCAGTTGTGTGAAGAAAATGATAAAATTTTAGTTTGGGTACAATGTTGTATGACCGCGCAATTGTCATTCAAAGTGTGAGAGCGCTGAAACCTGAAAAATGGCCTGGGCAGCAAGGTGTAAAATTGCCCGGTATTGAAATGGTTAAGGTGGATTTCCTTTGATGTTGACCTTACCTGATGCCGGGTGTAAGTGATACCAAGGAGCAGTCCCAGTTAGCTGAGAGGGTCCATTGAGAGGTCTGGAGTCCAATTCTTGGCCGTACCAAGCGCCATCAGAGTGCCTCATCCCCATCGGTTCCCAGATGACCACTAGTGCCCTTTATATTACATGCGCAATATTATTGTGCGTCCGGTGAGTGCAAGCACACCTTTTTTTCCATACCACGGAAGTCACGAGCACCTTATTATTATCATTGATGCAAGTTTAATAAGAGTGATCAGTACCCCCCACATTCTGGAGTATTGATGCACCTTGTGAATACCTCAACATTTTTTATATGGACTTTGATGCGTTTATATATTGTATTTATGTCATATAACTTGTTTCTATGAGACGATACGTTGTTGTCACTTTATAATATATATCGTCTTTATTAAGACATCACATTGATTTCACCTTATAGCGCATAACCTTGCGCTCCGATTATCACTTTTCACTTTATAATTTATTTATTTTAGCGCTGCATTTTGAGTTATTTTTACCATTAAAAGTTATTTAGGAATAAAAAAAACGACATATATATTGTCAAAACGGACTGTGAAGAAGGAGACCATTGTCTTTCAAGGGAGTAAAAGAAAGGCTGTAACTCCGCTTTAAGTAAGACAGTATGGCCATATGATGTCCTGTACACTCTAGCAGTCTACTTGTCATTATACAGGAAGACAGACCTTCTCACCTACGGCTACCTGAAGACTTTCAGTGGCTCCCGAGACACGTAACGTTGGGACAAGAAGCTGAACGTCACTCTGGGGCTCCATCCCCAGCATTCGGACTTGGGGGGAAGAGCTGACAGAGTGGTCACACAACTGTTTGGAAAAAGAACTAAAAAAAGTCATTTACTGCTATTTTTTTGCATTTTTTTTACAAAACACTGCATGCTTAACCAATGACAGACCTTCTCACCCACGGCTACCTGAAGACTTTCAGTGGCTCCCGAGACATGTAACGTTGGGACAAGAAGCTGAACATCACTCTGGGGCTCCATCCCCAGCATTTGGACTTGGAGGGAAGAGCTGACAGAGTGGTCACACAACTGTTTGGAAAAAGAACTAAAAAAAAGACATTTAATTTTTTTTGCTTTTTTTTTACCCAACACTGCATGCTTAACCAATGACTAAGTATTGCCATTAAGTGTTTAACTTGCCTTAGGTTTACTAATACTTTAAAGCTTTTTAAATACTTTCCGAATACCTCTTGAAGCTCTTCACACTAGAAAGATCTAAAACATACCCGTGCATACTTAATACCTTAATATCAACATTTTTAGACAAAGATTGCGCTGCCATCACTTAAGATAGAAAAAACAGACCATAAACACTTCACATGCAAAAGACATATTTTTCTACAACCATCAACAAGTCATTCAACAATTAAATAACCTTGAAAATGTATTAAACCATGAACGATAACACTTATAACAAGTGTTCAGTCATCAACTTGAGCAGCCCAAGGCTAATATTTCAAAGTGTAATGCTATTAAGCCTTGTCCACCTACAGAGCAATATAAGCAGCAGTAGTCTCATGTTGACCTGTGACAGTTCAGGACATTTAGGCAGACGGGGGCTGCTTGTAGGGAGGTGCAGCGTGGTGTGGTGGCAGTATAAACACAGAGTCCAGCTGCAATAAAACTTGAAACTTTTATTGAAGAGAATGGCAAATACAAACTCTCTAGCAGGAGAATGCTGCCTAGGGGGGGAACACTCATGGTTCAGGCAGAGATGCACCGACAGCATCTGTTTCAGAGGGTGAAGTGCGGCCTGGCCGCTCCGGTCCCAAGAAGGGAGGCTTCTTTGAGGATAGTGGATCCCTAGCCTGTCCTTCCTCATCAGGAACCTTTCCCTGCCACTAATCACTTTCCCTGTCAAATGGGGTTTCTCCCCCTACTCTACCCACTTTGTCAAAGCGTGCCAAAACCCGAGGACTTATAAAGACCCTGCTGACCCAAGGTGGAGAAGGATCTGGGGCTTCTGGTAGATCACAAGCTTAATAATGGCATGCAATGCCAAGCTGCGGTTTCTAAAGCGAGCAAAATCCTCTCTTGTATTAAAAGAGGTATAGACTCCAGAGAGAGATATCATATTACCCCGGTACAAATCATTAGTAACACCTCATCTGGGATATGCAGTTCAGTTTTGGGCACCAATTCACAAAAAGAACATTGGGGAACTGGAGAAAGTACAGAGAAGGGCAGCCAAACTGATAAGAGGCATGGAGGAGATCAGCTATGAGGAAAGATTAGAGGAACTGAATTTATTCTCTCTTGAGAAGAGGAGATTAAGGGGGGATATGATCTCCATGTATAATACATAAGGGGGGATATGATCTCCATGTATAATACATAAGGGGGTATATGATCTCCATGTATAATACATAAGGGGGGATATGATCTCCATGTATAATACATAAGGGGGATATGATCTCCATGTATAATACATAAGGGGGGATATGATCTCCATGTATAATACATAAGGGGGGATATGATCTCCATGTATAATACATAAGGGGGGATATGATCTCCATGTATAATACATAAGGGGGAATATGATCACCATGTATAATACATAAGGGGGGATATGATCACCATGTATAATACATAAGGGGGGATATGATCTCCATGTATAATACATAAGGGGGGATATGATCTCCATGTATAATATATAAGGGGGGATATGATCACTATGTATAATACATAAGGGGGATATGATCTCCATGTATAATACATAAGGGGGGGATATGATCACCATGTATAATACATAAGGGGGGCTATGATCTCCATGTATAATACATAAGGGGGAATATGATCACCATGTATAATACATAAGGGGGGATATGATCACCATGTATAATACATAAGGGGGTATATGATCACCATGTATAATAGATAAGGGGGGATATGATCACCATGTATAATACATAAGGGGGGATATGATCTCCATGTATAATACATAAGGGGGGATATGATCTCCATGTATAATACATAAGGGGGGATATGATCTCCATGTATAATACATAAGGGGGGTATGATCTCCATGTATATAATACATAAGGGGGGATATGATCACCATATATAATACATAAGGGGGGTATGATCACCATGTATAATACATAAGGGGGGGGGGTATGATCTCCATGTATAATACATAAGGGGGATATGATCACCATGTATAATACATAAGGGGGGATATGATCACCATGTATAATACATAAGGGGGATATGATCACCATGTATAATACATAAGGGGGGGATATGATCTCCATGTATAATACATAAGGGGGGATATGATCTCCATGTATAATACATAAGCGGGGATATGATCACCATGTATAATACATAAGAGGGGATATGATCTCCATGTATAATACATAAGGGGGGATATGATCTCCATGTATAATACATAAGGGGGGATATGATCACCATGTATAATACATAAGGGGGGATATGATCACCATGTATAATACATAAGGGGGGATATGATCACCATGTATAATACATAAGGGGGGATATGATCTCCATGTATAATACATAAGGGGGGGATATGATCTCCATGTATAATACATAAGGGGGGATATGATCTCCATGTATAATACATAAGGGGGGATATGATCTCCATGTATAATACATAAGGGGGGGATATGATCTCCATGTATAATACATAAGGGAGGATATGATCTCATGTATAATACATAAGGGGGGATATGATCTCCATGTATAATACATAAGGGGGGATATGATCTCCATGTATAATACATAAGGGGGGATATGATCTCCATGTATAATACATAAGGGGGGGATATGATCTCCATGTATAATACATAAGGGAGGATATGATCTCCATGTATAATACATAAGGGGGGGATATGATCTTCATGTATAATACATAAGGGGGGATATGATCTCCATGTATAATACATAAGGGGGGATATGATCTCCATGTATAATACATAAGGGGGGATATGATCTCCATGTATAATACATAAGGGGGGATATGATCTCCATGTATAATACATAAGGGGGGATATGATCTCCATGTATAATACATAAGGGGGGATATGATCTCCATGTATAAATACATCAGTGGTTCATATAGTGAACTCGGTGTAGAGCTATTCCCCCTGAGGTCATCACAGAGGACAAGGGGGCACTCTTTACATCTGGAAGAAAAGAAATGTAATCTCCAAACACGGAAAGGTTTCTTCACAGTGAGAGCTGTGAAAATGTGGAATAGACTCCCTCAAGAGTTGGTTCTGGTCAGCTCAGTGGATTGCTTCAAAAAAGTCCTGGATTCTTTCTTAGATACACAGAATATAACTGGATACTAAGATTTATAGGGAAAGTTGATCCAGGGAATATCCGATTGCCTCTCGGAGGATCAGTAAGGAATTTTTTTTCCCATCAGGAGCAAATTGGATCATGCTTTGCTGTTT